TCAGTCTTGTGCCTAATACAGAGATTGCAAAGCACTGTGGCTAACTGTAGCATCAACACCATCATCCTTTTCATGGGTGACCCCGTGATGGCTATTGTTGGTTGTCAGTTTGACTATGTCTGGAATTAACTAAAACGCAAATGGCCGAGCACAGCTGTGAGGAATTTTTTTCTTAATTAAATCCTTTGAAGTCCCACTTCTAATCTAGATCCTTTTTCTGGTGGGAAGATCCACCTTTAATCTGGGGCACACTTCAGCTGGCAGCCTATATAAAGGATACACACACACACACACACACACACACACACACACACACACACAAAGCTCTCTTTCTTTGCCTGCTTGCATTCACTAGCAAGTTCATTCCTTCATTGGCATTAGAGCCTACTTCTTTGGGATCCCGACATATCCTGAAGACCAGCTGAGACAATCAGCCTCAAGGACTAAACAACTATTGGATTCTTAGACCTTCCATTGGGAGGTAGCCATTGTTGGACTAGCTGGACCACACAGTCTTTAAGACACTTCAATTTTAATATATATGTAATATATAAGTATGTATTCATATCAGTTCTGAACTTCTGTTTCTCTAGGAAACCGTGACTAATACAGAGTTCTATGAAGTTCCTAACCCTTAAGCATTTTTACATTATCAGTGTAATTTCAAATAAATAAATAAATAAATAAACATTCCTTGCAGTTGATGTAATTTGTACAAAGGGGTGTTTTCATGGTAGCACAATTTTAATGAATTTGCCGTTTTTTCTAATAAACACTGATGCTATTGTTTGGACAAGGCTGGCAGAGGGTATCACTAGAATGTGAAAAACTGCAATCTGGGCAAGGATGAGAAAGGTCAAACAATGATTTTGAGAAAGCAAATACCTTGATATGATCAGATGATTCTATCACAGAGGCAGACATTCTTGCATTAGATACTTAGAGCCATAAACCGTCACAACCAACTTTTTAAATAAACATTTAGGCCTTCAGCAGATCTAGTAATAGCTCTCTTCATGTTGTGGAGGTTTGACTCTGGGATCTTCATGTCTTAGCACTATCAGCTCTCAGTTTGACAGCTGGAGCATCATTTTACTCTTACATCATAACTCACTCTAAAGGTGAGTTATGTCCATGATATGCTGTGGGAAATCACTGCTTCTTTTCATGGTATCACTTTGAAGTTATCAGTATTATCATTTTTGGGGTCATTTTTCTGTATTTTTGGCATTTTCCTCCTTTTGTTTCTGTATGGAATGACAAATACTTTTATTGCATTTTATGAATTTTCCCACAGGCATGAGTAGAAAGTCTCCTTAGACTATGACACAGCCTGTTTGTGACAAAAAAAATGTGTTTTTAAAAGGGAGGGTCCCTCTGAAAAGAACGGTTGGCTGCGAAGTGTTTGCACACATGCACTCGGACAGTCGCCTCTTTTCTCTTCCTCTTAACCTTAGAGTCAAAGTAATAGCCAAAAGGCACGATAGAACAATGTCGAGGAGCCAAAGGCCAGCCGGGGTGCTGTAAGTTTCCACAAGGCACAGCGGCACACAGACACGGTTCCTTCCACAGGGGGCCTTCCTGAGGTGGAAGCACCGTTCACCGAAGGTGAGAAGACACCACCAGGACTGCCGTGCTTTCCCTTTGTAGGTTTGCTTGCGTTTCTAGTGCAGTTGTCAATCTTGTAAAGAATGTGGTATTTTGTGCGTCTGTCTGCAACTGAATTACCCTGGGGCAACATCAATTGCCGTTGAATGTGGTTATTTTCTTTCTTTACTTTCTGCAGGAATTTATAAACCTTCAAGAGCGTCTCTGGCCTGCTTTCTAATAAGTTGCTTTGCCCCTGATGATAAACTGTTAGTGATACAAAGCCCTGGCTGGGACTGACACTGTTTCTAAATGTCGTGAAAGGTGAGCCTCAACACCTACTTTGCAGCTTACCTTACTTCACGCACAACTCATAACTTTAAAAGAATCTGCTTTTCTATGTCTTAATCTTTAATTTTACATATGTACACTTTGCATACTGACTATCCTCACCTCTTAGATCCGACCACCTCTGTCCACCTTTAACCTTCCCCTCAAATCCCTCACACATTCATTTTTATTTGTGTGTGCACCCGTGTGTGCATGAATGGATGTGTGTGTGTGTGTGTGTGTGTGTCCCGCTGAGATTAACCAGGGATATCTGTGTGACTATGGCTTTGGAGTTATCTGTTCGAGCATAAAGGGCTCAGCATAGTGGAGCCCATAATTTTGCAGAGTCCCTACAAATGGTTGAGCCCTATTCCAACCCCACTTCCGGTTGTGATTTTCCATTATCTTTTGAGAGTCCAACTCCTAACTACTGCTGTCTGCTTCCAGCCTTGGGACCCCAAACACCATCTCCTGTCATGCTGTTTGTTTTAGTTTTTGTGTCAGGCATACAAATAAGTTTATCTATGTTTAAAGTATTACTGATTTTTAGGACGGTTTGACACATACAAATCAGTCAATCTAATACAGCACACAAACAGATTCAAGGACAGAACAAACAAACCCAGCACATAGTGCTTTTGTCTGGACTCTATGACAGTTAATTTTGATTATCAACCTTGCTGGACTAAGAAACATCTACACAAATAGTTGATGTCTTTGATGTTTCCAGAGATGACTGTTAGATTAACCCCTTGATGAATTTACAAAATACTATCATTACTGAGAAGTGATAAAAGTGGTGATTGTCAGTTTGATCAGCTCTAGAATTACTCAGCAGACATTCCTCCAGACACCCCTTTGAGGGGCTACTTATGCTAAATTAGCCTCTGGGTGTGTCTATAGGGGATTACCATGATTAAGTTAATTAAAGGAAGACCTGCCCATTGTGGATGGCTCCATTTCCTGGGGTGTGATCCTGGACTGTGTAAAAAGGAGAAAGTGGGCCAGCAGGATGGCTCTGCAGGTAAGTTCTTGCCACCAAGCCTGATGACCTGAGTTCAGTCTCCAGGACCAACATGGTGGAGAGAGAACTGAGTCTTACAGGCTTTCTTCTGCCCTCCACGTGTGGCATGCTCACCCCTCTTCTTAATAATAATAAGTAAGACGCAGTAATTTTTTTTAAGAATCGAAGGGAAAAGTGGACCACGTACAAGCATTAGTCGTTCTCTGCTTCCTGACTTGGATGGGACGAGACAAGTCATCGCAGCTCCTGCTGTCACCCACCCCAGCTGAGGCCAACGGCACCCTAGAACTGTGAGCCAAAATAAACTTTCTCCTTAAGTTGCTTTTGCCAAGGTGTTGTGCAACAGCAATGGCCAAAGAAACTAAGCCAGTGAGTGGGACCGGGGCAAGAGTGGCTCAGAAATCACGGGGCTCAGAAATGCAGCGTCGTACGTAAGCGCTAGGCTCTGTTGAGCTGACAGCTCTGCTCTGGGAGAACCAGCAGGGCTTTTAAGGGGCTATGACGGTGATACTGTGCTCATCATCCTCATGGTGCCTCAGGTAGAGGGACTTCAAACACAGCCATTGACCTAGGCCTGCACAGATCCGGGCAAGATGGGATCCTAGTGCTGACAGAAGTGGAAACAAATCCTCATCCCTAACCCAGAGCCAGCTCCGGGTGTCAACTGATCACAAAGGAAACGCAGTTTTCTCGGGTGGAGTCCTGGGCATACAATCCACACTTCATGGAGGCCCCTGCCCAGCAACGCTCAGGCAGTACAAATAAACTCAGGGGTAATCTTGGAGATATTTTCTTGTTTCATAACACTTTGTTTGGGCTTTTTTTTTTTTTACTTTACTGGTCTTTTGCTTATATACTATTTCCAATTATTTATTTATTTATTTATTTTGGGGTGTGTGTGTGCATGTGTGTGTTTCTTGTGTTTTTTCTTTTTCTTTCTTTTTTTGTGTTTGTTTATTGTTTTATTCTGGTTGGTTTGTTTTATTATTTGCCTGTTTGTTTTCTAAAGAGAAAGAAGACATAAGGTTGGATGGATGAAGAGGATCTAGAAGGCAGTGAGGAAGGGGAAACCATGATCAGAATATAGTACATGCAAAAAAATATTCAACTTTAAAAAAGGGGGAAAATGCCAGAAGAAATGTGAGTGAAAAAATATACCTAGAAACCTGAGCTGGGGAAGACTTTAGCCATTATTTTTTCTCTATTTAAAAACACAAATACAGAAAAAAATTTAAAGTGTATATCCAGGAGACTAGATTTACTTAAATAAGTTAATTTAATCATGCAGCGAGAAACAAACAGCGTGGAGGCAGCCAGGCATGCAGGGATAAGGTCAGCACTTAGTGACTGTAACATTATTAGTCCTGAGACAGTTATGTGTGTTTCCAACCTGCATATCTTCTTCTTTTTTTATTTTAATGCCCTGCTGGTGGAATTTTTTTTTTAACCAAGATACTTCAAGTTCTTTTAGAGAATAAGAGAGTTGTTCAGCTAAAAGAAAGCTGGATGTAAAAACACAGCTTGAAGAATATATTAAGCTGGGTGTGGTAGGGCACACACATAATCCCAGTAAGTACTAAGAAGGCTGAGGCAGGAGAATCATAAATTCAAGGTCAGCCTAGATTACACAGTAAGACTCAATCTCAAGAAAAAAACCTGTGTAGTGTGTGTGTTTGTTACTCTCTCTCTGCATTTACGTGGATGCATAAATATATTCATATATATCTTAAATCTATATTTTAAGGGATAATGTAAGAGAGTGGTTTAAAACCGTATTTCATGGCTTTCAAATCCCACCCTAAGCCATGCCAATTTAGACAAACAATATCATAGTCTCTCTGTGGCTCAGTATTTCTATCTGTAAAATGGAGAGAGTAAGAATATCTCCTCACGGAGTCACTGTGAGAACACCTGTACCAACATATGGGATGCCCTTAGAGCAGTAGACGCTGAGAGTGATTTCTCTTGGGCAAATGTTAATCCCCATCAGTACACGGCACGGCAGACTCTTGTGCCATCAGGCTCTGAACTCTGTTCTGCTGCAACCCCCAACACTTACCTACTGTGGCTGATGCAGACGAAAGCAGAGATTTCCCCCAGGATCCCCAGCCTGCCCATCCTCCTGCCTGTGGTGGGGAACACACAGCCTGAAAAGAACAAACAGCGGCAGGTCAGATACTCATTTTGCCCCTGAATGGAAAAACATTTAGAGATGAAGTCTGAGGTGCAGAGGAGCCCCAGGAACAAAACAACCCACTGACAAGCAACCATATCTCCCAGGCTGATTGTGTATACAGGTCAAAAGAGTACCTTGACCCGCACTGCAGTATGTGGTTTGAGTAATGGAGGTGTTGGCTCCTGTGGACTTGGCCCAATAGGAGAAGAGAGCTGTGGTCCCCCATCACATGAAAGACAGGGTCAAGGGCTAGCAGGGGTAAGGGGTGGAAGTTGGAGAACAGGGAAATGCAACACATTAGAACACAAAAGTGATTAAAAAACCTCTGCGATAGCATAGGACCAATGAGCGGGCTAGGCAGGTAAAAGCACTTGCCATGCAGGCCTCATGACCTGGGTTCAATTCCTGCAACCAATGTACAGGCAGGAGGAAAAACCTCCACAAAGTCCTCTGGCCTCTACATGTGTGCTATGGCATGTGGGCATGCGCAACCACACACAGACACGTTCAAATAAAAGTAAGTGGAGTGGACCAACTTGATTCTCACATTACTAAATGCTGCCGTAGAGCTTTTTCTCACCCTTCACCCACCTATGCTCCGCCTCCTTTAACAGAGACGTCCCAGCCTTACTCAGAAAGCAGAAGGCGTCCTGTGAGAAGCTCTGCACTTTGCCCTCCTTCCCATAAACTCAGTAGGTTGAGTTTGTAGAGTAGGGGCAATTCAGACTTGGCCCCATCAAGCACATCTAAAGCAAAATTAGAGAGGCGCAGAGCACTGGCTGCTCTTTCAGCGGACCAGGCTTGATTTCCAGCACAGATGAGAGCTCACAACCATCTACAGTTCGGTCCCAGGGGATTTGATATCCTCTTATGAAATCTGTAGGTATCAGGCCTGTGATACATAGACATACATGTAGACAAAAACACCCATACGCATAAAATAAATAAAATATAAGATGCAACTGGTCCTTTGAACAAGAGCAACCATTGTGTGGTCCTAAAAATGTTTAACATGGCAGAGGAGAGCTCTCATAACTGGGGAAATACATCCAATGCTATCGTAGACTTTTATGTAATTGTACATGAGTATAGACAGAAAAATTTATATATATACATATATATGTTGTACATATATATATATATATATATATATATATATATATATATATACCTCTTAGAACCAATAACTTTGATGCAGAATTCCATCAAGTTCAAAGTTCCTTAAATAGAAAAGACATCAAAATAGCTGGTATCCCACTTAACGTCAAATAAAAAGTACTTTTTAAGCTGGACCTGTGGCTTAGCGATAGAGCTCTCACCTGGCAAGAGCAAGGCCCCAACTTCCATCTTTAACATCATCATTATCACCACCAAAATGACCGCATCACTTACTGAGGCTGGGGTGTGGCTCAGTCACAGAGCATTTGTCCAGCTTTGCGTGAGCTCCTGGGTTAGATTTCCAGGAAAACAAACTATTTAACTTAGGTGAACAAATTCAAAACTATTAACAGAGACAATGCAAAAATCTAGACGAGTCCATCAAACACAAAGACCATTCACATTTAGATGGAAAATATATATTCCAGAGTTAAGGATAAAAGACCAACCTGGTGTCCCGTCCCCAAGAGAGAGGAGGAATCAGGTACTGTGTGTATCTCGTACCAGGCCTGTCAGCCATGGGACCCACAAGACCAGGCCTTCTTCGAGTTCTGTAACTCACAGGCACTCTGAAAAGAGCCTTGGTGTGGTAGGGAGTCTGCAGGCCATCCTGGGTGCCTACAACTCTGTCAGAAGGTCTGACTCATAATGGCCTCAGTTATTTCCAAGTAATTTTCTTTCCTGATGAGTATCTATAATTCAACACTGGGAAGACTTAAAAATTAAATGTAGAAAGGCTAAAGCACCAAAGCCATGCTAAATAGTTTTCACGTACATTTAACCTTTTCTGTCCTATTTATATTTATGGAACTTAAGAGGGTGACAAGATTTGAAAACCAATTTACAATGAATAACTGAATTATCACATTATTGACCTTAAGCTGAAATTCTTCCACATTTAGGAATACTGTATTAACATTTAGGTCTTTAAGCCCACACTCTAAATTTAATAGCTTTATAACAATTATTGAAAAGGAAATAGAATGTATTTGATTTGAGTTGATTCAAAACAAAACAAAACAAAACAAAACAAAACAAAACAAAAAAAAAAGGACCAAATCTCCTTTGAAAGTGGCTGCTCAGTTTTACTGGTCTTGTATACAGAACCATGATTTGTGAGATGAATATAAATCCCAAGGGAAATATGAGTGTTTAAAATTGTAGTCTTCATAAACTAAAAATACAAACTGTTTAAATCAAACTAATCATCTAAGTAGATCTCTTTATATACAATACACACATCAGCTTATGCACCATAATCCACCTAAACACAAATCTAAAGATACCAAAGCCAACTGACAAGACTAGTCCGTTCTGTTCTCATGGGAACGATGTAGTCCTCTTAGTTACCACTGTCCTTTCCCCCTGACCCCCTGAGGCCTTGTTGGAAGCCTCCTGGCTTTTTCTCCCTACTGTGACTTCTCACATTTTCATGTCTGAGGTGTCTCCATCAGAGCACCGCCACAGAGAAAAGGGGTTTCTTTCAAATGTCTCTGGTTTGGGCTCCTCATCTTTCCTCTTCATGCCTATCTTCTGTGCCCACTCCTGTTATCGCTCCTCCATCTAAGATGACAGATCCCTCCTGCCGCCACCTCAGGAAGCCATCTGCATCAAAGTCGTGACGCCTTCCTTGTCAAGCTATGTGTCAGTCTTGTATTAGTTGACCTCTCAGAAGGATCTGAAACTTTAACCATATTTAGATGGAAAGCACTCTGGTTTCATAGCGTTGGTACAGCTCACTTTTCTCTATGATAACAAAATACCCAGGGCAGGCGCGTCGTATGAGGAACAGATGTTTACTTGTTCATTGTTCTGGGGATTTTGAGGCAGGCTCCAGCACTGGCTTGGTTCTACTGAGGATCTCCAGGTGGATGGTGTCCCAATAGTGGGAACATGTGAGGAGGGAATTACTTACACTCAAAACAAGAAGCCCGAGAACATCTCTGTGCATAGGCACATACTTTAACAACCCATTCCTTTGAAAGCTCAAGCGTCTCATGAGGGCAAATGATCCTTTCTTGGGACAGCTTCCCCAGAAACCTAAGGAATGCCTACTGGGCCCTACTTCCCAGAAGTCCCACTTTCCTTTGTCACCACACTGAGAATCAATTCTAGCCTCATCCCTTGGGAATCCAACGCAAACTATTTGAAGCACAGCACGGCCTCTGCCCTCTTTCCATTATTACTTATTTATTGTCAGCATTTAGTATTGTGACTTGAGTTATTTTTAGAACACTCTTACTGACATAGGATGATATCCTGTAGGCTTCCTAGATTAAGCTACAATCTGGAGCTGTCCTCTTCCCAATAAATGTGTACACTCCAGGTCAGCAGGGCGCCCTCATTAGGAAGCCCGTGCTTCAGAGGCAGCCACCATGGTCAATGCTCTTATCTCTGCCTCCGTTCACACCTGATGCTTTGCTAATCAGCGTCCCGAATTGCAGAAAGAGATTTTAATTGGTGACTTTTTTTAATTGCAGACTTTTTACCAGAACCTGAATATCTGAAAAGAAAGGTCTTCAAGATTAAATCCATCTAAGTAAGTCTTCCTGCCTTTACATGTCCTGCACAAGAAAGGCTTTCGGCCAGCAAGATGAATCAGTGTGTGCAGGGGCTTGCTGCCGAGCCTGAGGAGTTGAGTTAGACTCCCCAGGACCCACGCAGTAGAAGGAGAGCACTGACGCCTGCAGGTTATGTCTGACTTCCATACATGAGCCGTAACACATGTGCATTCAAACATCACACGCATGTGCACAACACAAATAAATAAATACAATATAAAACAGTAAAAAAGGCTTTTGCCTGTGTCAATAGTTCTCCACTCAGCTTTGAATTCTAAAGGATCCTGTTTACTAATGCCGAATCTTCTCAGGGAAATAAGCCTACCTCTGAAATCCAGTGAGCCTTTCATGAAAGGTAGTAGACAGAGCACCAAAGAGGACAGAACAGAGGACAAACCGACACAGCAAACAGTCTCCACGGACTATTTTGCCGCCACGTCCATCAATGTTTATTTGAAAATATCACTGCAGTACGTACAGTGTGGTTAGGGATCCGGTTTACACAGAGAAGAGGTAACACACTACTCCAACTTCTTTTCTGGCTTCTACAGAGTATGAGAAAGATAGTTTTCTAGCTGGGTGGTGGTGGTGCACGCCTTTAATCTCAGCACTCGGGAGGCAGAAGCAGGTGGATCTCTGTGAGTTGGAGGCAAGCCTGGTCTGCAGCATGAGTTCCCGAAAACCCTCTCTTGGAAACCAAATAAATAAATAGATAGATAAAGAGATAAATAAATAATTTTTTTTTCTAACAGCTATGCAAGATCAAAATTGTATTAGAGACAAGAGCTCTCTGGGATTGAAGGCTTGCCTCTTGTCTTTATTTCTACTTAACCTCTGGGTGACCTCACTCTCCAGCTCAGGCAGCCACCTAGGTGCCAACAGATTCAAAGTCAGCCATCTTTCCCAGCCACTTAACAACTGTCTACAGAAAGCTCCACTTTTCGGTCCCATGGACTCAGATCTGCCCATCACCTCTGCATCTGATTAGACTTCTTTATCCTGGTATTATCGATCCCCACACTTACCCCCAGACGCTGCGGGAATGTCATCAGGACAATACTCTAGAAGTGGAGGCCCAGGCGCTTCTATGATCATCTGCATGAAAGCATCTCAAGGCAGAACCCAGAGGTCTAATTTTGTTGTTATTGTTGAGACAGGGTCTCGCTATGTACGCCAGGCTGGCCTTAAACTCATAGAGCTCCACCTGCCCCTGTGAGCCTCCTGACTGCTGTCACTAAAGGCGTGAGCCACC